GAAGAAAGAAAGAAAAGATAAAATCTAAAAAAAAAATATAGAAAAGGATAGATTAAGAGAGAAAAGGAAAAAGAGAAAGACTGAGAAAAGAGAGGGAATAACACGAGAGAAAGATAAAAACAGAAAAAAAAGAATAAATGAAAGTAGAAAAGCTAAATGTCATATAGGAAAAAAAATGAGTAACAACCGACAACGAGGTTCGATCCTGACACTCTGGAATTATGAATATATTTTTCCGCCGGGTGTACAAATAACAGTGTCAGGATACTGACTGGAGATTATTGAGTGGGACTATCCAGTCGAATTAGTGTGAATTATTGTGCGTCGATGATCTGGGTTTTGATTTAGAATTTACCGGCCGATAAGACGAGCCGCGCTACTAACAAGGTATTCACTGAAATGGTTAATTATCTTTGGTTGACTTTTACTTCTTTATTCTTGTTAAGTATTTATTTGGAGTTGTGATTAAATACTGATTTATTTAACATTGAAGTCTTGAGTTATACTTAATTATTAACGGCCACCGTACGTCACAAATCTAAACAAAGATAGAAAAGAAAAGATTAAGAGAGAAAACAAAAAAAGAGGAAGACTGAGGAAAAGAGAGGGGAATTACAAGAAAGGAAGACAAAATAGGAGTGTGTGAAAGGGGAGTAGAAAAGATAAAATGGAGAAAGACTGAAAGCAGAAAGATTGGAAAAAAAAGAAATGAAAGATTAAGAGAAAGAATGAAAAAAAAAAGTCGTAAAAAAATGGCGGAGAATAGAAATAGAAAATGGGAAATAAAAAGAGAGAAATTAAAAATGAGAGAGATAATGAAAATGAAAAATAGTTAAGAAGGGAAAGAAGGAAAATAGGAATGTAAAATAAAAAAGGCTAAAGAAAGAAGTGAAATAAAAGGACCAAGAGAAAAAGACAGAGATGGAAATATATTAAGGAAAATAGAAATACTAAAAGAGAGAGAGAGAGAGAGAGAGAGAGAGAGAGAGAGAGAAAGAAAAAGATGAAATGAGAGAAAGAGTAAAAAAAAGAAAAAGACGAAAACAGAATGAAGCGGAAGACTGGAAGTTGGAAGAAGGAGAAAAATGGAAAGACTAAGAGAGAAAGAGAGAGACAAAGAAAGAGAGAGATAGTAAAGAAAGAGAGAGAGAGAAAGAGAGAGAAAACAGAAAGACTAAAAGGGGGAGAGAAGATGACGACAAAAAAGATTGAAAGGGAGGAAGAATGAAAAAGACAAAAAGACGAAAACAGAATGAAGCGGAAGACTGGAAATTGGAGGAAAAAAGTGGAAAGACTAAGAGAGAAATAGACTAAGAAAGAGAGAGAGAGAAAAAGAGAGAGAGAGAGAGAACGAACAGAAAGTCTAAGAACCAGGAAAGACGAAATAAGGATAAAGAATGAAAAAAAGGAAATGACGTACAAACACAAAAAAACAGAAATGAATAGATTTCCTTACTAAGCTTCTTTTGAATAAATCTGCAGAATTGAAGATGGAAGAAAGGAAATTGGAAAGACTAAGTGAGAAAGAACAGAAAGCTTAACAAGTGAGAAGGAACGAAAATCTGGAAAGACTAAAAAAGAGAGAAAGAATGAAATAATGTCAAATTAAAAGAGAAAGTAAAGAGCAGAAAGACAAACGAAAGACAATTATGATAACTTTCCTTTTTTTGTGTGTTGGGGGAGATATAGAACTAAAATCATCTTCAGTTGTTTAGGGCAGAAAAAGATATTCTGAGATATTCGGAAAAAAAATTGTTCATTTTCCTTGTTTCTCACACAATTAATATAATCAGAATTCATTAATCCTATTAATAATAATAATAAAAAGAAAAGAAAAAAAAAAGCCACTCCAAAAACCTCCACCCACTGAGTACGGATACTTATATTGTTCTGACTTCACGGTGTTTGAACACTCATAAAATTTCCCTAACTAGACAAACTTTACGCTTAAAGATTCAAAATTACACTACCGGATTGTTTAAAAAGGCTAGCGGACTGAACACGTTGATTAAAACATAACCGTTTCAATCTCTGTGTCTGGTAGTGTTGAAAACAACACACTGGTTCAGTGGAAGAAAAATGAGCATGATTTATAGGAGAAAAGGCTGATGAGTTAAGAAAAGAGTAATTAACTTCCTATGTAATATCAGTCATCTTATACGGCAGTGAATACTGGACAATCTCCTCACATATGAAAAAGAGACTTGAGACAACAAAAATGTGGCTCTACAGAAGAATACTGAGAATACCATGGAATGAACATGTGAACAACGATGAAGTTTTAGAGAAAATGGAAACCAAAAGGGCACTTGACATCAGAAAATGTTGAAATCTCTAAGGAAAGAGTGCTTGGAAAGTTTGACACTCAAAAGACATTGAAGGCAAGAGGAAAACAGCCAACATCTTGAAAGGGCATAGTACATAAAAGAATTGGTAAACTTAGACCTTCGTGCACACAAGAGAACCGTATCAAAAGAACGGTTCTTCCATGGACACCGCTATTATTTTAACTACCTCCAATCCTTGGCAATGTTTATTATTTTAAAAAGGGATGATTAGAAGTGTAAAAACAGTAATCAGTTTGTGCAACGTCATTGCACGTGGAATAGGACGACAGACCAATGGGGTCAGTTGCAGAGATTTATCTATAGCAATCAACTGAACTTGTTACATGATATATGACCTCCTATATGGCAGTGAATGCTGGACAATATTCTCAAGAATGAAAAAGAATCTAACCAACAGAAATGTGGTTCTATAGAAGGATGCTGAGAATACCATGGAAGGTACATGTAAACAACGATGAAGTTTTAGAGAAAATGGAAATCAAAAGGCCACTTGACATCAGAAAATGTTGAAATCTCTAGGGAAGGAGTGTTTGAAAAATTTGACACTCAAAAGACATTGAAAGCAGGAGGAAAACAGTGTATAACCTAACTAATAAATTTGAGTAAATAGATGTTGGAACAAGGTTTAGGAGAGATAACAAAAAGACAAAATTTACTAAGAGCTTACAAATGACAGGATATTGTGAAGAGCCAACATCCTGAAGGGGCATGTTACATAGAAAAATTGGAAAACTTAAAATTTTTTTAATTAATTAATTAATTAATTAAATAATTTTAATTAAGAATTAATTTTAGAGAAAATGGAAAGAAAATTGTTACTTCAATATCTGTCTATATTTCCGAGATGAGGTGTTATGTACACTATTTACATTATTCGGATTATTGCCATTATCTTTGTTGCCATATTCATCACAACGTTTCGGCCGTTGTACTCTCCGGCCTTCTTCAGGTGGTTGGAATGTCGAACTGAACCCTTTATTTCCTTCGCTGGTGGGTAGACTGTTCTAGTTCCACATGCCATGACTAATGGATGTCAGTTATCAGTTATCTCTTGTTAATTCACCCCTCCAAGTTCTCTAGCGGTTATTTATACACAACATCAGAAAGTTAAAATTTCTGGGGTTATTTTAATGCTATTTTGGGTTCGTTTATTTCCATACTAATTTTCTGAAAAAATATATTTTTTTTTATTCTCATAATCCTGCGAGTTTAATCAGACATCTTGGTTTCAGCATTTCTTTAGATTTGACGTCCCTTTTGTGTAACTCACATCTTGTCCCTTTTGCTAGTTGTGCAGATTCTTGATGATAAAGTTAAATTAAATCTTTCAATTTATCCACAAACGAATTAAAATCATTCTATAATTACAAGCTATTATTATCAATTTTTGACGAGTTTCTTAACATCGTTCGGTCGATATCTATCACAGTCTTGTTCGTAAATAGCTATGACCTGATGAAAGGAAAACCATTAAAATATCTATAATCAATACAATTCATTTAAAAATAATTAGGACAACTGAAGATTATGATATCTGTTATGACTTGCTCAGAAAAAAAATATAACGATAGAATTTTACATTTAAATGTGCGATGACCTGGTTTTAATGAAGAATTATGAAGGTGCTTTTTTCTACCTCTATATAAGTAATTCTTATAACTTAATAGTGATATTTTAAAAATTATATATTATAAATCAACGAACCAATGAAAAGTGAATATATAAAAGAAAAATCTGGAAAATAAACAGTCAATTGCAGGATGACCCTGACGAGTGGACGAAGTTGTGATAAAATATAAATCATATTTTGATCGGAATCCGATAGAATGATAAGATAACGAACAAATGGTAAAAGTTGATAAATCTTGCATGTTTCTCATTTATTAAAGCTTCATCATAGATACACACACATACATACAAACACACACACACACAAAATGAACATGTTACGTACGTTCCTGTATGTAATATATTCATTTTTGTTTTTGTTTACATAAATACATAAACATATTAACTAATATACATTATCCCTAGAATCCCGCATAGAGAAACTAGACTTATGATATACGCATGAATGATACACACTAAAACCGTGAAGTCTGCGCTTTACCCATGAAAAAGTAACAACGCTTAAATAGAATATAACAGATATTTTTTTTTGTTTTTCTCTGCCAAATCTCATTCTCTGATGATGCTTTACTAAAAGCGAGACAGGTTATATTTGTAAACGTTTCCTATATATATATATATATATATATATATATATATATATATATATATATATATATATATAAATAGTAACAGTTCTGTTTCTTGCTTAAACGCAATCTTCACGCCTGAAGATTGTGTTAAAGCAAGAAAAACACGTTCACTCACTCACTCATTCACACACACACACACACACACACACATATATATATATATATATATATATATATATATATATATATATACATCAAGTAAAAACCGATTTCGGTTATAATTTATTTCGTGAATATATTTATATACATCTCTTCAGACTGAAAGTTCCTAAGTTATATATATATATATATATATATATATATATATATATATATATATATATATATATATATATGTATGTGTGTGTGTGTGTGTGTGTGTGTGTATAAACATAATTAAATAGACTGAGAGAATGAGAATAGAAACAGAATTAAATAGATAGATAGCTATTAGATAGAGAGAAAAAAAATAGAATTATGTAGATTGGAATCCGAAATATGCAGAAAAGTCAAATTAAAAAATATCTTAAAGAAAAAAAAAAACTTTCCTTAGTTTAAAATTTAATCTGCATAAATGGACAATCGCTCTATAAGTATAAAAGAAACTCAAAATATAAACAATAATAAAAACGTATTATCACGTTATGCTTATATCTACAGAAAAAATCCTTTATAAAACGATGTATAGATCAATTAAAAATATGCACATTTATTTTCAGCTTATACCAAAAGTAAAAGTTACAGAATAATAGAAAATAAACGTGGCACATTCCGGAAGGCAAACACAAATGGTTTCCTTAATATTTTTATTAATAGCTCTTGACGATCACAGATTGGCAACGGACCACTCTTCCAATCTAACAGTAACTTCCCGGTGGAGAAAAAAAGGTTGGTTCCATTCAGTGTCTCGAAATCCAAACGAGCTACATTCCATCACCGCCGATCAAGCCCCGGACGTCCACCAGTCACGATGTGTACATGACCCCTCAAAGGGGGCACCGTGTCTTCAGAGAATAATGAACCTCAAACTCACACCCAACCTCAAATGGAACTCTTATATACGATCCATCACTAAAGATGCAGGTAAAATTATCGGCTCTTTGTACCGTCCCAGTAAGTACATGATTCATGCTATCCTCTGACTTTTATAAGAGACAGATGAGGATGAAAATGGGGTACTGTTGCCGTATTTGGGCGAGAGCTGGACATACCTCACTTTCCAGTCTTGATAGAGATCAAAAGCGTCTCCGAGTCCGTGTTGGAGAAGAATTATTTTCCACACTCCAAGCTCTCTCCCATGGGCGGAATATGGTGAGTCTTTTACTGCTATATCTACCATGGAAAGTGCTCGGACGAACTACATTATACGAGGTCTAACCTTTACGGCTAGGACCCGTCATGCCACATACATAGTAGCAGTATTCCTTCATCGAGAAGTAAGTTCCACTCAAACAGCTTCTTCCTGTGAACAACTACCCCGTGGAACAGACTCCAAAGAAGAGGTTTCTCCGATCACTACAAACTTAACCTGTTCCAGTCTAGAGTTAACCGTTATTTTCCCTTCCTATTCAATAAATTACCCCTTAATGTAACCGTCTACCTAGGGTGGCACCCGGACCTTGTACAGGGTGAAGTAATTTCTACTCAAAGAGATTCTGGGCGCGAACCATTGTCCTATGAAATAGATTTCTAAGAGGATATATCCTCGATCACTAAAATCATAACCTGTTCAGGTCTAGAGTTAACCGTTATCTTCAACTTCTATCCGTATAAACTATCCCTTAACGTAACCCTCTACCTCGATTGGCGCCCGGCCCTCGTCCAGGTTGAAACTTACTGTAAAAAATACATTTGCATTGTAGATTCTCTAAATACATAACAGAGGCACCAGACCTGATATGGCAGCAATATTCAATACATAGACGAAAGGTAGACTAACAAAAATGTCAGTCAGATTCCGGAGAGAAATATATTCCAGGTCGACACAATGAACCAGCCTTCCTAGCGGAAGAACGAGAAAGTGAATCAATATCAGCTTTCCACTTTATTTCAGTGGAACACTTTAGCTAAGGAAAGTGCTGCCTCTCTAAGCTGTAGGCAGGAGGCGAGATATGACCGACATCACCCAGCCGAAATATCTGAGAAGATCTCAAAGTAATAATAATAATAATAATAATGATAATAATAATAATAATAATAAATAGAACCCACAGAAATATCCCAAATACCTTATCAAAGAATTTGTAAGATTTACTGATAATATAGTTTATAGAAATATAGAAATCTGTCAGAATATTGAAGAGCATGTCGGAAGTTTGAGTAGATTTGATGTGTACAATAGATGACAGGTCTAACATTAACAATATCTCATATACAATATAATACCATCTCAGTCTTTGCATTTCTTTAAAATAATAATACAAAGAATAATAATAATAATAATAATAATAATAATAATAATAATAAGAAGAAGAAGAAGAAGAAGAAGAAGAAGAAGAAAGATGCGTAAGAAAAGAGAAGGCGTAGTCAAAGAAGAAAGATGTTGAAGCTGATACAATTGTTGATTATAATTTTCCCTGAAAGGTAATAGATATCCTGCGAAGTAGGAGGAACAAAGGTAAGTTGATGAGGCTGGGGGTGAGGAGGAGGAGGAGGAGGATAGAGTTTACAAAGGAAACGCAATTTCATATGTATTGTGTGAATCAATTTCAACTTCTCATAAAATGTTAAACATCCGTAGGAGGCGCTCTTTCTTCTTCAGCCCATCACCGTTGCGAATATTTCCCCGTCAGCGGCCAAGCGCCTTGTGAAGAGGAATTACAATCAACACCAATCCCGACGCACTTCCGCAAAACGCGGTTCGAGCATTCACTGTATGGAAGATGGATAACTAACAAGAAAGAAGGGAACATTTCTTGATAAGCTTACATGATCTGTTTAACAAACAGTCTTCCATATATTAGGAATATATGTATGATTCTATTATACAAATCAGTTTTTTTTCTTAACTTTTGATCCTCCAATACCAGACCTAACATCCACTCAAGTTAGGGAGTTTCTGAATTTGTCTGTTGAAAATAGATAACAGTTGACCCTTTACTGGAAGAAATTAAAAATTGTAGGGATCAACACGGCCGGATTATCGTTTAGGCTAGTATAGTCTACAAACTGGGACCCCTCAAGCTTTTTTAAAACAATGATTTTAATTTTCTAGACGTAATAACTACTAAATAGTTTTATAAACTGAAATTATATCAATACGATGAACTCGGATTTATTTGACAGGTAGCAAAGCGAGATAAAGAATGTTTTGGTTTGTGTCATTGTGTTTCAAATAGATTGATTTTAGTTAAGAATGTTTGTTTGATTTTAGTTAAGAATATACAAATCTTAGGATTTTTTTTATAAAGCAGTGATTTTCATTTTCTCGATGTTATAACTTCTGAATAGTTCCATGAACAGAAATATCAAGATGACAAACTGATATTTCGTTGTTTTATTTTTATAATTCTTGTTATATATTTCTTTTTAGTTACGGGGTACTGAAATGTGCTAATTTGGTGGTTAATAGGCAGTGTAACACACGCGCTCATTTCGTATTAAAAATTTCCAGAATACTTACATTTAGGTGTAATTGTACATGCTCCATTCGAATCTGGTTTGATAAATTTGATAAAATCTAGCGTTTTAGAGTTATCGACAGTGAAATTTCAGATTCATTCGCGTCACGGGCGGCCATTACGGGTGTTATTTGCATACATTTGCTGCAGAATAGCTATCAGTGTAGGTATCATTGCGCAAACTGAGCGTGTCTACGTAAATAGTTCTCGTACGCAGTAAATGAGACAAATTTAGCTAATAAAGATTAGTTCTGCGCTTAACTGTCCGTAGTCTTCCGCGTTTAGCTTTCCGCAGTGCATGTATACAAACAACGAGAGTAATGGCTGCCGCGACACGAATGAATCCGAACCTTCACAGTCGATAACTCCAAAACGGTAGACTTTATTAAATTTATCAAGCCAGATTCGAATGAAGCATGTACAATTTCACATAAATAAAAATATTCTGGAAATTTTTAATGCAAACTGGGCGCGGGTGTTACACTGCAAATTAACCAATTTGGTTTGCAATAAACAGTAAAATAGTGGTATTTCTTAAGGAATATTTTTATTGACTAACAAAATATAGCTATTCTAGTTTATTTAAAGAATTTTATAATAGGTTTGCTTCAATCTATGTAAATGTAGCTAAAATATATGACGAGTAAAAAAAAAATCAAGACGTGGTCGGGTGAATTAAAGGGTGACTCCGTCTGAGGGTAGTATAATTCCATTAGTCTAATAGCCCTCCCCCAATCGTAATCTGTCCCTGGTGATTGGGGAAGCATCTTCTCAGGAGTCTGGTAGACAAATAACAGTTCTTGGGAAGAATGTATCTAATGTAATGGAATAACTAGTTACCCCCAGGTTTGATTACACTATAGGTAGTAAGTATCTATAAAATCTACTGTCTACGAGAGACTTGGACAGAGAAAGAAGGTGAGAGCAAGACGGACGACGCAAGCACGTCTGACCATTCAATTAGTTCCACTCACTATTAGATTGACCTATGTGTATTAATGTACTGTATTTCATATTGTACTTGTTGTGTACAATAAACCTTTCTTCTAGTATCCCCTTGGTGTTATGTGTTTATTCCCTTAGCACGGAATATAACAGTATCCGAATAAGACTTGTTTCTTAACAATGGAATCAAAGACAAATAAAGATGATTCAACCCTGTATTCGAAAAGGTGTAAAGACACTTTCACAATAATATTGTTATTAAGCAGTGGCAGATCTAGGTTCCGGCAAGTAGGTTATAGTTGTCTCTTGACGGGATAGCACAACAACACTATTGAACACTAAACAATACATTTGTTGTGTTAATATCCATTAATCCGGCACAAATAATCTGGCAACGTTTACCATCGAATCGGTGTCGAATATGGCCAAAGACAGTTCCATGATGATTGGTTAAGATTGACAAATTTGGCATAGAAAATAAGGTTTTATATCTAACCATCACCATCTTAAAAATATATATTCTTGTGTCAATAGACATTCATAATGTCTGAAAGAATTTAAAAGATTATTAAAAATTTTCAACTTGTGGACTTATTGATTACTTACATTATTCAGAGTGTTATGCTCATTGACATATTCACGACGTTTGTGCCGTTGTACGCTCCGGCCTTCTTCGGGTGAATGAAATTTCAAACCAATCCTTTTATTTCAGCTAGCAGAGTAGATTGTTCTAATTCCACGTGCTATGCTTCCTCCAGATGTCTCGGTTATTTCTGTAGCCTGGTATTGAACTCACAACTCTTTGAGTCTAGTTACTGGTTCTAAACAACGCCTTTATCCACTGAACCATGTGTCCTTGAGGATATCTGCGCATGAATTTTTGGGACTTATAAACCAAATGTCTCAGTACCATTTTTATTTACCAGTGCTCATATTGTAATCTTTCTGTTATTATTAATGCATTTTTTTATCAGAGCTTGTAGTCCAATTTTTTGTTGTTATTCATTGCTTTTCTCTGGCACTCCTTATTTCTGGTTCCCATATTGTATTCATTTCTGTGCTTGGTCGGCTCAGAAGATTTCTGTGGCCTAGCATAAGCGCTGATTCCTTACGTTTTCGTATATTATATTGACATTTAAACACTATGCAAATGACTATATAAGGAAAACCAGAAGAAAGGACAAAACATCAATTGCAAAAGACAATATGCATAAATGTTAGCAAAAGGAACCGTCCGACATGCAAATTACTGAAACCAAACAAGTCTAAAATATCTGACAAGTGTAGTAACAAAGGACGAAAAGTGCGCATTGGGATAGCGGAAGATGCCTTCCAAAAGTTGAGCAAAGTATTAAAAAACAGAAAAATATCGTTAGAAACAAAGAAATAGTTACTGAACTGTTATACAATATCAGTCCTCCTATATTTCCGTGAATGCTGGACAATTTCCTTATAGACGAAGAAGAGTCTTGAAGCAACTGAAATGTGGCTCTATAGAAAGATGCTGAGAATACCATGGCCTGAACATGTGAGCAAAGATGAAGTTCTTAATACAATAGCAAAAAAAAGGACATTTCTAGTCAACACCAGGAAGAGAAAATTCTTGGACACAATGAGGAAAGACGGCTTGGAAAATTTGATACTCACAGGACAGATTGGCAAGCTTGAGTGAAAGGATGACGGAGAAATGATTGGAAGAGACAAAAGTTATTAAGAGCTACCAAGAACTTGAAAATGTGGAGAGCCATGATCGCCAATGTCCTGAAGGACCACGGAACATTGAACCAGAAAAAAGTTTGACATTGCTTTATCCAATAAAAGTACAACTTAATAAAAGTACGTTTTTATTCCTGTGTCCCTTCAGGATGTAGCTAATTACGAACACCCGACAGACTACGTTTCTTTATCATACTAGGGTAAGATAATGGAGTGACCCCTTTTGCTTGCTTCACACTTTGGAATTCAGAGTTGTCCTTCTCTTAGACTGGTTACCATCCAAAGCTAGAGAGTCCTTTTCATGCTGCTATTGTGGTAGATAAGAGACGGAAACACATTTTTTTCGAAGGACATTAATATATGCAACAGCCTAGCCTGGAATTCGAACTCGCTTCGCAGGTTCCATTTTTCGCGCCAATGTCCGTTACACTACACGCAACTCCTATTAAGAAAACAGGCATATATAAGGATAAATATATAAATATTTGCCAAAGGAAATGCATTAGAGATCATTTTGTTCGAGAAATGCATTGGAAATAATTAAAACCTCAGTCGTAAATGGCCAAGAATTGATATCAAAGATACGAAGAACATAAAGCTCTCACATGAACGATTACAGACTGCCAAAGGGAGTCCGTTATGTTTGATGTCAGTTCTCTTTCAGTTGACAAAACTTGTTATAATTATTTTGCAATAAAAAATGAATAAACAAAAGGCACTTTTCTGGAATCAGCGGTGAAGATTCCTTTCTGTATAAAGGTAGAAATTGAAGATATGTATTAAATCCGACAGAAAATTTGTGTGTATTGCTTTTAGATAGATTGTTGTGCATAACGAGAACAGGTAAATTAGCGTGTGTTACATTAAATTTTATCATTATTATTATTATTATTATTATCATCATTATTATTATTATTATTATTTGTGTATGTTCTGTTTCCTTCTTTGTATCCCGTAGAGCCGGGTCCAAACTATGGTCCTTAGGCCCTTATAGGAGAATCGTTATTTAATTGACAGCACTATTCTTAGTATAATGGATGTTCCTGGTAAGGCGATCTTCTGGGCAACTTGTATGTTGATGTTACCTTGTTACATTGTTAGTAAAATTGTCCATTCCTTTTCTCACGGGGTCGATAGCTCCGATTGCTGTTGGTATAGTCACCACATCCTTTTAATCTCGATCTCCAGGTCCTTGTATTTGGATAGTGTTCATGAAGGTGTTCCTCTCAGATGTTAATGCTAGGTCAATATGCACACACTTCTTGAATTTCTTGATTTTTATGATAATATCAGGTCTGTTGGCTTCTATTTCCCTCTCAGTTTGAATTGGCATGTCCCAGAGGATAGTTACATCGTTATGTTGGGTAACTGTGTCTGGTTGGTACTCATACCATCTCTCAGTGGTTTCGATTTTGTGTTTCTTGCATATCTTCCAGTGCACATATGTCACTACCTTGTTATGTCCGTGGTGTATTCATTTTTTGCTAGTTCCAGACATCCTGAGATAATATGGTCGACAGTTTATTATTACTATTATTACTATTATTTTTTATTTTCTTTGATTTCTGGCGTTTACACATTTCTTTCCGGGTCCCGCCTAGGGACCTAAGGTTAGAAATGGCGTCATGACA